TAATGAAAAGCAAGACATTTAACCACTAACCATTTAACTGCACATTTCCAATGCACTTACTCCCTACCGCCTCACCAGTCTAACAGGGAGTCTAACAGCACTGACATTCATAAGAATTTTTGTCACATTCCTATTCCTCCATAAAGCAGCAGGACACCTGAGACTCCCTGGAACGTGACTTTATCTGATGGCTTTTGTGAAAGGTGCTTAGGCCACACTAACAATTTTAGCATTGTGCAAAAAGAAAAAAAACACAGGTCAAACTTTGGTGAGGATGAAAGGAAATGGGAAAATATGCAAGTAGAATGACAACAAGAAGATTCAGTCACATTTCCCCATTTTTTTCCTTCTTTTTTAATCTAAAGCCCAAACTTCTGTACCAAATCCACACTTGTGCTATACACTTTGCAGAGCAAGGCAAGCCCTCTTCCACCATAAAAAGTTGCATCTAGGCCACAGCCCAGGGAAATGCAAGAGAACGTGTATGGAGGGAAGGTAACCGCGTTTTGGCAGCGACACCTGTGCCACCCATGACCCCAAAGCTGTCATCACCCGAAACCAGCCGCAGGAGACGGGCACAGGAACTACCCAGCTCTCCTCCCCAAAGTCAGCAGGGAATTGCCCTGGGAGAGCCGCAAGGCAAAACCTCGCCGCAAGGACGGGGAGAAATAATAAATCCCACAAGATTTCAATCCAGCACTTCTCACCAATCTCCGGTTGCCTTGGGAGCACAATTAACTTCACTTGTCGTTTGATTTTATCTTCGTTTTCTCAGGTTGGGAGCTGCTGGGGAGCGCGCGGTGTGTGTGCACGCGTGTGTGGGTAGGCACAGCGGTGCATGCAGGTACTTGTTGTTTGCACTGGGACTGTTTGCTTTTCTCAGGGCCTCCTCGGAGAGGAAGTCTAACTTTGGGGAAGTTTCCTTGTCCTTCACAGGCGTTAAGAGAAAAAGGTTTCTTCTCCCACTACCTCTTGAGGCGAGCTCAAAGGAAGGGACCCACATATGAACGGGCTCCGAGAACCCAAGCGCCCCACGGCTCACCATGGAGCCTGCAAGAGCAGGAGGTTTCCTTCCCTTTTCCAAACACATCCTAGAGTTTGCTGCAAACCTGTAAGACAGGATCCAGAGAAACAATAGGAGACCTATAGGGGAAAAAGAAGCATGAGCAAAGTCTCACCGAGGCTCAAGACCAGGTGCTCCCCCAGGCTGTAGCTGCCTGTCTACGTTCAGTTTATTTTTCTGAAGTTTATTTTCAGTTGAGCTCTCCGAATGCTGCTGCTGTCTGCACAAGCACGTGCCCCAGACAGGAACTCACCTCCCGGGATTTAGGGCATCCCCCTGCTCCATCCCTGCACGTCGTGGGCCTCTCAATCTCTACGTGATGGCAAACTGAGAAGCATGATGAGAAGTTTAAGGACAAATAAAAATGATTGGCGTTGCTTCCCTTGAAACAGCACTCGCGGATTTCTACTTAAGGAATAGAAAAAGGAAAATCGGTGCTAAGCCTAGTTAGAGATTACACTTCTGTTCCCTCCTATCCCCTCCTGCCCAAAACAAGACACTTGATAGAAAAAAAGTTTTATTCAAACTGAGACCTTGGGCATGACTAGAGTTACAGAGAGGCAGGTGACCTCTGCTACCATCCTCTCTTACAGACCTAGCTGAAAAGCAAGTAGTAAAACAATACATTAGCACTAATGTTAAAGAGGAATGTCAGCTTTAAGGCAAATTACGACTCTACAGCACAGGTTCAGCACCAGCCTGATTCAGCAAAATAGCCCAGATTCAGCTAAAAGGTTGGAAAATTCCATTTGAAACAGTGAGAGAGGCTTTAAACCTCAAACAAGCAAAATCCCCAAAGCCCCTTTGCTATTCGGTGGAAAATTAAGCTCGCTAAGAGCCCGGAAGGAAGTTGCCAGCCTGGTCAGGGGCTCACCTACCTACCGAGGAGCCAGGAAGGAGGCTCTCGAACCCGCAGCCCTGCCAGCGCCGCGGTGGTTTCAGCATCTCAGGGTCAAATCAAGCGCTCTGGTTTTGCCGCTCGCGCTCCAGGCGGCAGGAGCTTCCCAGGAACCGCAGCTGGAAGGAGCCCGCGAGCGCGTCGGGATGCAAAAGCTCGGGAGAAGGAGCCTGAAGGAGGGAACGGCCCAGCAGTGCGTGCAGCAACGCTCATTCTCACAGCACGTTTTGGGCATCACCTGGGACCTCTCTCTTAGCTCCTCGTTATGAAGTTGTCACCCTCATGGAAATAACCTGGTTGGAAAATCCCAACCACAGCTTGGTGACACCTTCCTACGCAGCAGGCTGAGCCCGGATAGGCAGCAAAGCCCTGCGCACGTCCCCAGCTGCGGTACCCCGAGGTATCAGGGAGCACGACTGATCCCCCCTCATCGGGAAAGGGGAGCCTGAATTCCCATTCCTGCCCTCGGAGAGGCGGCCGCGCTTGCTCGCGGGTCTGTTTCTAACCCTCCCCTCTCTGCTCCAGGAACGCAGTGTTCTTGGTTCAGCTTAAATCAACTTAATTGATTTGTTTGCAAGCAGGAAGCACAGCTCATTTGCAGCCCAGAGAGATCAACGTGGATTCCCCTTGGTTTCTGGGAGGAAGGCTTCGATCTGCGTTTTCAAGAATCTGCAACTGGCCCTGCTCCAGCCAACCTGATTTTGGGAGGATGACGTTTGGTGTTGCATTTCTCACACAGCAGCTGTTAACCCCAACTCCATCCGCTCTGTGCAGTCCCTCGGCTCATGGTGAAATGCACCTCTCTGTGATGGAGGTAACTGAGCAATAAATACGTTGTGACAGGTCACAGCATCTTAGGATGGAAGTTAGGAATAAAATTCCTGATAGACGCTATCCCAGCAAAACCTCCACTCACACGAGATGCTCCCAGACCTTGGGGGGAAGTTCTGCCCGGAACAACAAGGTTTCCAGTTACATCTACAAGGCCTTTAGGACATTAACTAGGTTTAAAAGCTGAAATATGGAATAAATGTACCTGTATTGGGCAAATGTAACCCCCTAGCCCACCAGCATCATGTCCTGTGGTAGTCTGAGTGAGCGTAAACGTAAGACACTACTGAAACGGTTGACAAAAGAGGGCAGTAACTGGTGAGTGTGAGCGGCGAGGACAGAGCCCAGAAATCTGGGGATGCGCCAAAGGGGAAACCTTCCGGTACTAGTTCTCTGCTGCCTAATCCAAACCCGAACACTCTGGACCTGCATCTGACTCAGTAAGTGATGTGCGATTACCCACTTTGAAAGCAACCCAGAAATGCACTAAAAAATACTTGCAAAGCACTTCCAACCAGCAATGGCTGTTTCATAACCCCGGTTTTAGAGAGGAAAAGCTCCAAATTCCTTTAGCAGAGCCCCCCGGGGGCAAAAGGCTCGGGGCATTTGCTAGCCAAGCTGAGGCCCCTGCAGCATCCCAGTCCCCAGGACCATTAGGATGGTCGGCCCTCAGTACCACGGCGAGGAGCACAAGCCTGGCGACCCCATCCCCGTGTCCTGCTCTTTTATCCGGAGGGTTGGAGCACTCATGCTCAACATCGGATCCGCATCCACCTTTTGCTCCCGGTAAAGGGTTTTCTTATAGAAGCAGAAGATTGAACATCAGACTGCCTTGTAGGCTCTTAAAATTAACTGTACTTCATAGGCAAAATTTTCTCCGCATCTCTCACTCTAGCCAAAATCAAATCAAATTTACTCCTTCCCTGGCATCAGCTATGGAGAAGGTATGTAACAAGGATAAGGCCACTTTTGGGGGATGGTTGGCCACTTCATAGCAAACTATTGCGCTGTTCAGCTACTGATCTCAATGGGAGCTCTTCCATCAAAGCCAAAAAGGGAGTCGGTCACTAGGACAAAAACACATGCAGCAAAAGCCTGGTACCAACCTCAGCTCAGTAAAACACATACATATATATGTATACACAAACTAATGTGTCCAGAACACATTGCTGAGCCTTGCAAATTTGGAAGTGGAAGCAGTTAGTCATGGAAGACGTACATAAAATCACAAGACCCTGCAGTTTGGGGCGGCGGTACCATCCCGGGCTGGCAAAACAGTTCCAAGTTTTTAAATGAAATCATGGATTGGTCCAAGTCCTGTCAACAGGAACCTAGGCGAGCATTTTAAGGAAATACCAAACCATATGTACACACTTCATCCCCAGGCAGGGTGAATCTGCATACCTGGAAGCCACAGCAACAGAAAAAAATGCTTTAAACAAACCCTGCCTGCAAAAATCACCAGGACACACATCCCATTTTGCTTTGCTAACTCAACATTTCCTTATATCAAACCCACTTTGGTTGGAATCCTTCTTGTAAAATCGCAGAGAAAAAATCTTTCAGGAAAATTATTTTGTTAAAAGCTTTTCCCAGGCCACGGGAAGAACTTAAACGAAAACAAATTCCAGCAAACTCCCTGCTGGATGTTGTTTTTTAGTTCAGTAATACACTAACAACATTACTTCTTACTACACAAGCTTCCTTCTTAATCCACAAGCTTCATGCTACAGATAGTAGTTTTTTTTTCTTTCCCTTTCCTTCATAAACCCAGTAGTTATTACCTTGGCTCAGGTGAGTATATAACAAAGATCAGTGGATTTCTGCGTAACACCAGTTTGTATTAACAGCGAAGTAGAAAAAAAAAAAAGCTCGATTCAAAATACTGCAAGAGTTAACACCAGAAGTTTGCATGTTTCACACCACATGAATTAAAAATTTCACAGATGACAGAATCGTTTCTGTATGAATTTAAGAAAAGATAAAATTTGTGATTTGTGAAGTTTTGCATCGAAACGTAGGAGCTCTCCCGCAAACTCGAAGCTGACTGTGCTCATTGAGACGAAACCCAGGCAAGGACGGAGCACGGGTTTCGTGGTTCACATTCAAGGCTGAGACATGTAAATTAACATGGAAGTTGTAAACTCAGCTGCCACTCTCTTGCACTCGTTTCATCCCCAAAGAGGCTCCATCATGTTTCTACTGTACCTTAAGAGGGACGCTCACGCAACCGTCCACGTCCCCAACGCGACGGCTCTTCCAGTTGGCCCCAAAGGAGGAGGATGGCGACGGGCAGGCCGCAATCAATCCTTATGAGGGCTGATGATTCGTCTCGATGCACCCTGGAAGAGGGGAACGCCCAAGTTAATGGGTTGTGCAGAGATGGACAAGTCATTTTAGACAGAGCGGCCATTTTAAGCAAACAGTCTTTTTATTGTCCCAACTGCATGAGCTTTTCTCAGGGACCGGGACTGTCTCATCTAATAGTCACTGTCCCACTGGCTAACGTGGTCTCCATATCAAATAAAGTGGCCAAGCAAAGTCTCAGCCTACAAGCATCCTTGGGGGCAGGCCAGGCTACAAAACACAGGGAAAGAACAGCAGAAAAAATGAAGACCATGGCTCAGACTGCTTGGAAGTAGCCTAGGGCTGGCTAACCTGTGAATATAGCCCAAAATTAATGAACAAAAGTTGTCCTAAACAAATGTTTTGCAGAGAAGACTATGAGGAACGCAAATTGGTTGGCCTCAGGTTGAGAAGATCTCCAGATCTTACCCTCAAATTCTAGACCGCTGCCTTAAGCACAAACCTCTGCCGCCTCGGCCTGTTGAGATCAGTCTCGTCGTTACATGCAAATATTACACAAGCACAACAAAATATCCCTTGTTTTTCTAAGGAGAGGGCCAAATCCCATGCTGATTTACATGGTTCACCACCTCAATGGCTTCACAGCCTTTGAGGCCTTCACGGCCTTTCATGCCAGCCCCACATCAATATTAATCCTATTTCCCTTGTCAAAAACCCTATGGCAGCCGAGTCCAAGTATTTGGACCTCCCTGGTCAAGCCTCGGCCTTGCACAAAAGCCGAGCGGGGAGAAAGGGGGAGAAAACTGACAGTAACGTCGACAACAAAAACCTGCCCTCCCAGAAGCACCAGTGAGCAGCGGCCCTGCGGTCGCAGGCCCCATCTCGCGCTGCCATCACGGCTGCTATTTGCAGGGTTACCAACTCGCTGGGATGGAGCCTAGGAAATGTTCGGTAGCCCAGGAAAATAAATAAATAAAATAAATATACAAAGAGAGGACTTGAAGAGCGCGTTCCAAAGTGGGGGGCGAACGTAATCCGTGGCACTCCTGCATGCCCGCCGGAGCCCGGGAGAGCACCGGGAAGGAGGATGTACAGACAGTTGCTATAGGCTTAGGAAAGCAGCTTGGCTGGGGGTGCTGAGGGGTTTTTCCCCCCATTTTGAGCCAGGATGGGAGGGAAAAGCCCTCACATGGGCCACTGATGGCTGCAGGGCTGGGAAGTCCAGATACCTTTGGAAGCAAGCGGTGTTTAAAACAGGTAGTAGGGAAACGGGATCGCAATGTGAGCAACATATTAATGGCCGGGTTGGCACAGTAAGGCCACTTTTCTCTCCCATCCCAGCGCTTTTCCCAGGCACCAGTCCCGGTTTGCAGCCTCCCAAGGCATCGGGGCGGCGATGACGGAGCTCAAGGCGCAAGGCCAAAGTAAAGGAGTCCTTGGGCAGGTCCGGGAGCGGGGCTGGACCTTCCCGGGCTCTTGGCAGGCTATGGAGCACCAGGCGCTTCCGTTCCCTTCGGAGAACGGTCCTTTTTTTTTTTTTTTCTTCAAATTTAGCCTGGCCAGGAGACTCTTACAGAGGATGTTTTAAAACATACGGAGCTGCCAAAAGACGTCAGATGAGAGGCCGGCCAAATCCACCCAAGCGGACTGCAGTGCCGGACGGAGGCTCCTTTTTAAGGTGAAACGAGATCGTAAAAGGCAAAAATCCCCGAGCAATTACAGCCGGCGCTTCCTGCCTCCGCGTTAACCTCCGTTTTGTTGGGGTTTTAGGGGGAGATGGGAGCACGGCTGCAGTTTGGGAAGAGGGATGAGCTGGGGCCATCACCCTGGCCAGTAGGATCCCAGTAAGGGACTTTAGTAACTTGTTTTTAAGAGACACAAAAGGTAAAGGAAAAAACTGCACTGGAATTAGGGTTCCCTCCACCTTCGTTTGAGCCTAATGCTTCAAAATCCAGCACAGGGAGGAAAAAATCATTTCACGGCACTCTAGGAAGCCACAGGTACGGACAGCACATTTTACGTGCTTTTAGGAGGAGAACGAAAACACATAGGACAATGAAAATCAAGGCAGCTCGCACAGAGCTGTAAGATTAACAAAGAAACCAGCTGAATTTGTGCGCACAGTCACACCCCTATGGCAGGCTCAGCCCATTCCCGCAGTTCTCATGGGCCTCAGACTCCCTATCTTCTACCTGCACTTACAATTTTGGCTCAGGACAGGCTGGAAAAGTTTGCACCGACACATTTTTTCGCACTTTGCACTCATTATCGCAGCGGTAGGAGCCGTGGGGAAGCCGCACACTCTCCGTGTGTGCAATACTGCTGCGGGACGCAGACACGCAAGCCCAAGAGTTCACCAAAAAGGGGAAAAAAGGCACGAGGAGGCAGCCGACTATATGCGTGATGAATAAATGCATCTGTGGTTCAACATCTCCAAAGCGAGAAACTGCTGTTTACTGTCATCACAAAGCAGGGAAGGGCAAAAATCAACCCTGGGAGGCCGGCGCATCCCAGGAGATGAGCTCAACCCCACCTCGTTCTGCTGCTGTGTTGCACTCAGGCTTGGGAGCCCGCGTCCTCTTCGACTGCATCCATCTCTGTAATTAGTATTTTAATTTTCAGCTGCTTGGTTGTGGCAGAGAGAGCCTGAAGAGCCCAATCACAAACAATTAAGCGCAGGGATCAAGTGAAACGCGGCACCAAGCAGGTTTGGGGCCTGTCCCCCTTCCCTTAAGCGGAAGGAGGAACGGAGAGCTCAGCACCCGCAGGAGAGGGAGCCAAAAAGGCCTCTGCTTGACGGGAACTGCCTGCGACCTGCCAGGAGGAGCAGCCTCATCCTGCAGAGCAGCAAAGTGGAGCCTGGCTTCACTTCCCACCTGCTCCGAGGCTTCACATCCCCCTTGCAGGCTCCTGCGGGGACGGAGGCCTCACGGGATGCTGCAAAGGGCAGCTCAGGCCCTACTGCTGGTCGCGCGCCTTGCAAAAAGCCTCTTCCCATCCAGAACTAAAGGTTACAATTACAGTAAGAATGACTCAAGCAGGAAAGACCGATTAAGGAAAAATAAAGGGGGGCGGGGGGGAAGGAAAGGAGTTTTAATGAAAACACACAGGCAATTCTGAAACAGAAGAGACCCATCTTTGCATTGCATCTTATGCTCTGGCTCAGTTGCCAGCCACCAATTAAATACGTTAGCTAAAACCAGACACACACTGCTCATCTTGTACCTTTAATATTTCAGCCACCAAAACGTGAACATCTGTTTTGCTTTGAGGCTGTCAGCAGTGACTCAATGTTATCTGCAGTTTTGGACGGCTGAAGATAAGTATTCCCGAGGCTTTTTTTTTCCCCTCCCCTTAGCAACAGGGTGGCTCGTTTTCAGCCCGGCCTCCGAAGCCGCTTTACAGGCAAGATTATTGAGTGAGTTATTGAGCTCGCTCGATGTGGGATGAGAGCCGTGTTGTTCCCGCTGAATCTAAGTGAAATGTGAAAAAAAACGGGCAGAGGATGGATAAGGGGAGTTAAGGAGAAGGGATGACTGTGTCACGACGCAGTGACCGTTTGCTGCGTGAGCTGCCATTTACCCTTTGGGGCTCAGTGCAGCTCCGAGGCATCAGCAGCCCGTGCTGGCGGGAGGGTGAAGGGAGGGATGGGGCAGCAGGGAACATCCCTGTGCCGGGGGAGCCGGCCGGCGGAGGGCAGGCGCCAGGGAGAGCCAGGACGCAGCCAGGGACAGGGACAGGCACGGGGAGGGACCTGCGCCTCGAGCGCGGCTCCGAGCAGCTCTCGGCCCTTCTCAGAGGGACTAGCCTGGCCAGGTCCAAGGCAAAGGTCGGGTCTGTGCAACCCAGCAAGGGTTGGACACGCTGGGATGGAGACACTAACCGTGAACACAGAATCCCAGGATGGTTGAGGTTGGAAGGGACCTTTAGAGATCACCTAGTCCAACCCCCTGCTCCAGCAGGGACACCCAGAGCACGTGGCACAGGGTGGCATCCAGGCGGGTTTGGAAGATCTCCAGAGAAGGAGATTCCACAGCCTCTCTGGGCAGCCTGTTCCAATGAACCATGATGGATATGGGTCCAAAGGGAAAGCTTTGAAAACACCAATTCCTGGCTCTTGGAAGAGTACTTTGAACTCCAGAGCGTTCTCCTCCCCACTTCAATAAACTCCAAAAACTTACAGTGCACCTAGTTAAAGCCTACAGCTGATCGTGACGGAGCAGATCCAAGACGGTTTTCATGTGGGACCTCCCTAGGTCCCCCAGTTCCAAAACGTGGAAATTCCCAAGATTGAAGTTACCCAGGAATCGCAGCGCTCAGAGCACCCCCAAGCCCTCGGCCCGACGTTAACAGGCACCGACAGCAACGCACGCGCCGCAGAGCTTCCCGCCTCGCTCCTCGCCAGGGCACGGAAGCAGAAGAACTGGTTTGAAAAGAGAAAAAGGAAAGAAAATACAGATGGCTCTCGATAACGCGTCTACCTCGTGAAGCCTGAACTCGACGGGCTGGTTTGGTCTGCGCGCTCCATCTGCTTTGACTTCGCTCAAGACATTTCCCATGTCCACCAGCACCCGCTTCCATACAGATATTCCCACATGCTGACAAGCCAAAGCCTGGGCACGCGGTCACAGACCCTCTCTGACAGCATCGGGGCCCATCCATATGCTCTTCTTGCATGAAGAAGGGGCCGACATCCATAAACATGAATCTTCAGTATGCAAGAGCTGGTCCAGGGGCAAAACAAGGCTATATTCCCTCTAAAATATTCCTACTCCCGCACAAGTTTGCCCTAACTCCTGATAATCCACACTTCCCTGCAGCCTCTAGGCAGGTCCCTTGAAAGCCTTAGCCTCAGAAGGTAACGTTTTTGCCAAGTCACTTAAAAGCACAGCAGAATCCATCAGCTTAATTCAAGCACCAGAGTATTGATGTTGCTTTACAG